AAACAAAACTGAATTAATCAACTGGCATATTGATCCAATATACATTCCTCCCATCTATGGTCATTGCGAACGCTTTTATCGTGAAATTAATAGCAACTGCCTCGTTCGACTTAACTTTTTCAACAATTGGGTTGCAAATACTTGGAATGCTCTGACGGATGGTGATGTCAATGCCTCTACTATTGACAGTTTCAAAAAAAAACTAGACCAGCAACTCACATAGTTACCACACGCGCATCATTTTCCGTGGCTGTATTATCGCAGCTATACGAGCTAGCTTGCTAGCTAATGATAAACTTACGATTCATATCTGTACCGTGTAACTTTAAATGTAATTCTAATTAATATAACAAATACAATTTAATACTACAAAAATAAAAAAATAAAAAGACAGGCTTGCCACATAAAATTTTATTATTAATTAAACTTTTTTAGTGTTTTTCAAAAAATTTGTTATTGCCAGACGGCGGCCTGTACACAACATGAACAATGATGTTTTTAGTGATTTTATTTATCACTGCGATCGTTAATGATTAGCAATCATTACTAATTTTACTAAATTCGGTTAGTGGTTCAATATTTAAAGAGTTGTGAATAAAAATACATACTTCTCCACCTATTGTCTCAGAATTTCTGACTTGATGAATAACTTTATAGTTTTGTTGAATCTTTTTCAATTTGTTTAACTTGACACCAGGTCTCTGTCAGACAAATAGTTCATGACCAACTTTATTTATACGGCCGGATATTTTGCATTTTGAAGAAAAAAGTAGAAGGCCGGTTTTTAAAATCGTAATGTTTCAAAAATCGTATACGTTTTGAACATTTTCAAAATTATTTTACTATCTAAATTTAAAAAGTCCACAAAAGTAGTATATATTCATAATTTTAGATATTAAACGAACATTTATTAAGAAATAAATAAATCAAGAGTCTTCATTTTAAAATTTAGAATTAGTAAAAACAATGTATGAAATAAGAACAGTTGTAAAAAATAATAAAATGTTTTTCTTTTTTCATTAAACAATAAAATAATTATATTGTATATAAATTATTAAATTTTCTCAAGGGATTATATACATATGTATATATATATATATATATATATATATATATATATATATATATATATATATATATATATATATATATCAAGTATATACATATATGTATATACTTGACAACGAGAGTAGCTATAATCCCTTGAAATATTGTATGAAAATTTTTTTCAAATTAAGAGTTACATCCGTAATAGAAAATTTATATTTATTATAAATTAAATCTTTTAAAATTTAAATTTTCTCAAATTTTCTCTTTTTAAAAGATTTTACATGATCAACAGCTACTTTGCTGGTAGAGATAATTCTTTTATTATAAAGAAAAATGTTGACAACAATTCTTCCAGCAAGTTTTATGCTAGTTGTCTTATGCATGGGACAAGCAAATGTTTTGAGATGTCCGACCTTCTAATTTTAAATGTTTTGCACAACTTAAAGCATCAATATTTTCACTAGTTATTTTTCTAAGTAATGATAATGATGGCGATTCTTCACGTAAAAGTTGGTATGACTGCATAGAAGTATATTGTAATACCAGCAAATACCTTATAATATTGGCTGAATAAATAGGTTTTTTCATACATTTAATTTGCTGTAATTCAGTCAATACAGATGAAAATTGTTCAGCTTGTGATTTAATGTAGATAGAAAAATTATGAAGCATACTTTTACAAAATAAACGACAATCTCTTCCTTGACGCAACCACTGAGGCAATGGCAGAGGTGAACCTTTGTAAAATAATTTAACATGCATCTCATTGTTTACACAAATGCACTCAGTAACTTCTGGAATAAATAAAGTACTATGAATTAATTTAGAAAATATTACATGATCATCATACTTCAAGAATGAAAAACCATCTGAAGCAAAACTTTCAGTAATATCGTCAAAGCTGTTAATCAAATCATTCAATAAAAAATGTTCATATTGATCTAGCTGAAATATTCTTTTAGTTGGTGATTTTTTTAATGAATTAGAAGATTTTATAAGTTGTGATGAACCTTCTTTAGTAAAATTTGTGCAGTCAATAATAGTTGGAATAGACTTTAGTTTTTTTATTAATCTAAAACGTTGATTCTTGTTACCTTTCTTATAATTTTTTTTTCAAAATGCTTAATGCATATAACGGAAGAATTAGTAGGTGTCCAATCTTTTCTATTTACAAATTTAATCCAACTTTTTTTATTTCTTCATTTTTTGAAAACGAAAATACTACTGTAGATACTTCACCATAATTATGATAATTTGAACAACAATTTACAACGCAACATTTGTTAACCATCTTTTTGAACTTACAAAGCTGCTTTCTTAAAAACACTTTTCGAGAAAACTGTCCTTCTATTTTTTTCTTCAAAATGCAAAATATCCGGCCGTATAAAGAAACACAATAATAACACAATATGGGTTTACCTGGATTGTTCACCATAAATAAGTATGCAGCAAAACTATAAAAGGTTTTGAATGGTCTATTGACAGTTCTGTCTAACAGTTGCAGCTTGTGGCTGTGGTGGCAATATTAAAACGATAGAGTAAAAAAGTGTTTTATAAAGAAATAAAAATTATCAGCTGCATCCAACGTTTGAGCAGGGGGCAAGCGTTTTAGAGCTATTTGTTGACAGGTCAATTTTTTACAAGGTCTCCTCATTTGGCATAGGTATAAACATACTTAAGTTTGGAGTTTGCACAATGTATGGAAGTGGTTTATCTGGAACATCAAAAAATTCTGCGGGCGCCCATGCATAAGTGTGCATTGAGAGAAACTATAACTTCTACTCCCTATTCAGTACATCTTTTTATGTTAGCAAACTAGGATCTTCAGTCAGAATTTTAACTTTTCTATTGACTAGCCCATTAAATTGAGCCCCCACCCCCCAATCCCATACGTTTTTGTACGCTTTTTGAAGACCTCTCCCCTCCCACATATGAGCGAACGTACTTTATGGACCACCCCTTATTTTTCGATTTTAAATATTATAATTGGCCGGTTGAATAAAAATGAGCAATTGCTTTTACTTAGTAATTGGTCAGCTTTACGGAATAAAAACTTCAGCAATTTTGCTATGTTTTTATCATTACCCAGAGCGACGAATCTTACAAATCTTAATAAGATTTTCTAATAAGATTCTTAATAAGATTAGTAAGACGTGCCAGACGTGCAAGAAAACTAGTAAGATCTTATTAAGATTTGAAAGTTTTCGTGCGATTTACTAATAAGATTCGTAAGAAATGTTAGATATTAATAAGATTAGTAAAATTTATCTTAATTTCTTAGTAAGGTTTCCAAGTTATAGTATAAATTCTTAGTAAGATTTGTAAGATCTTATAAGATTAATTTGTATTTTTTCCGATCCTACTAAATTCCAAGCATATTTTCGCGTAGAGAATGCTAATAAACTAAACAATTAAGTACTTAAGTTATTTTTTTCTCGAAACAAGTTCATGATTAATAATATACCAGTGCTTGTGTTAAGGGGTCGTCCATAAATTACGTCACGCTTAGGATGGGGAGAGGAGCAACATTTTTTATTTTTTTTTAGTTAAAAAACTTTCTTTTAATTAAAAGAGTAATTGACTAATTATTGTATATCGGAAGAATAGATTTTTTAAATTGATATCATGTTTACGAAAGCGATGTTAATTTATACAACTTTACACGACACTATTGGGGTGAAAAAAAAAACAATAAATAGATTGGAAAGTACTAATTAATTAAATTAAAGAAGCTCAGTGAATTATAGAAATTATTGAAGAATTATAGACCCCCTTCCTCCCTAAAATAACTCTGAAAAAAAAAATTCAGGGGGGGGTACAAATTTATTGCATTGACACTTCAAATGAGAAAATTTTATTTTAAATTTATTTATTTCTTATTAAGATCTTTGCAAGATCTTAGCAAGATCTTTTAAGATCATTATAAGATTTATAGTTTTTTCTCGTCATTTATTTCTTAATAAGAATTCAATAAGATCTTAATAAGATCTTAACAAGTTGTTCAAAGAAATATTTCTGACAAATTTTATTAAGATACTAATAAGTTCTTACTAATTTATGTAAGATAAAAAAGATCTTATAGATCTTAGTAAGATTTGCAAGATTCGTCGCTCTAGGTATTCACTTTTAGCTGAGCAATTACTGAGTAATTTGCTTAATTTTACGTGAATAAAAATTTGACCAAAATTGCTGACGCTTTTTTTCACGTAAAGCTGACCAATTACTGAGTAAAAACAATTGCTTATTTTTTTTCACCCGGCCTAATGTCTATAATTGTTTGAGATAATTAATTAGTATTTTTCTATGTTTTTTTTTGTCCTAATAGTTCCGTGTAAAATTGTATAAATTAACATCGCTATCCTAAATATGATACTAATTTTAAAAACTTATTCTTCCGATATATGATACATGTAAAATACTATATATATAATATATAACACATAAAAATATATTATACATGCCAAAATATTATTTTATAAATATAATTTTCTTACACTTGCAACGATTGCATGCTGAGTGGATACCTCTTCCGGCTTGTACTTCTTCCGGCTTGTACCTCTTCCGGCTTGTCTAAGGGTTCCAGATTCGCCTCTCGGTATCTAAATCATTCTTTTTATCATTTTTCACCTAGTGAACAAAGATTGTTTTTTTTGTTACTGCGCATTTTTGCACACTAACTAAATAAAGTTCTGCACTTGGGCCACATTAAGTCAATGGGAAGAACGTGCACTGCACATAGACTGTTACAGCCGTAACTATTCCGTTTGCATCAACTAATTAAGATTTAAGCGTAGTTGATTTTACAATAAACATGTACATACATCAACTGAGGGTTTTGGTTTGGTCAAATACTCTTTTAATTAAAAATGGTATTTTTATGTTATAATATTTTTATTTAATATATTACAACAATATGTACAAATTCTTTTAAAAAGTATAATTTATTTTAGAACTAAATTTCATAATAAGACGATTTCCTATAACGGTTATATATACACTAGTATCGAAATTGAATCAAAGAAAATGAGAATAAACAAAGAAGATGAAGATTAAATAGAAACTACTGATAAAAGAACCTCAAAATGTTTGCACACTCATTTTAGTTAAAAAGTTGTACATAGATTAAGAGACTAACTCACTAATAAAATTTTATTATGATTGTTGAAAAAGTTTTTATTATAATTGTTATTGTTAACATTGCTATCATCGTCATTATTATTGTTACTATTATTATTGTTTTTGTAAGTATTATTGTTTTTATTATTATTGTTGCCGATGTTTTAGCGCGGAAATAATGTAAAGAAAGTATAGGAACGCGAAAAAAAATTCAACCTCTCTGCCACTTTCAATAAAGGCTGAAAATAAGATAAATTATATTACTAATGAATTAACAACTGAACTTAACAAATAACTTTCAATAATAGATGCAAATTTGTTAAGGAAAATCTTTTTGACAAATTTTAAATTAAATGATGATCTTGAATCACCAAATTCTTTACGTTTTGCAAATCTAACGGTTGACAAACTCGTTATAATTTTTAGATCATTTAAAAGAAATAAATCAGTAGGATCTGAAAACATAGATGGATATTTTGTGAAAGGTTCTTAAAATGTTATTAAAGAAATTCATAGCAGATTCTTTTAGGCATTCATTAAACAAGATTCCTCCCGAGTTTTTTTGAAAGCAGCAAAAGTAAGTTCTAACTTTATGACAGGAAATACGACTTATACTCAAATTACTTTTTTCTGTTTTTCAAATTGAAGAACAGAAAAAAGTTATAATAGAAAGAGTACAAGGTCTATTCACACGTTTTTCACGTGCCAATAGACTATATTTAATTATAGTCTATTAGCACGTTTAATTAAAAAAAGGTAAAGATCATCGAATTTAAATTAAATTTAAAAAAATTGGATTTATTAGTTTTTAACTTTAAAATTAAAATAGTGCAGTTGAGCACTAACGCATTACTTACGTTGACTGACTTTTGAAGGATATGCGCACCGTAGTGAATATACATATTGACTGCTTATCTAGGAACAAGTATAAATACAATGACGAGGGTTTTGGCTTGGGCAGGCAATTTTTTAGTTAAAAAAAAGAAGTATTATTTAATGTTTATTTTATCTATTGGCACACTTTTTCTTTTTTTTTTTGAATAAAAATTTAATTATGTTTAAGTAATTTTATTCATTTTTATTATAATTGATTAAAAAAAAATTAAATTGCTTTCACAAATACATGACTTATGTTGTAAACATTTTTTGTTTGTGAGAAATTTCATATTAAAAATCTAACTTAATATTTTTTTAAACGTGCGAATAGACTATAATAAGGTATGAGTCTATTCACACGCGCGTGCAAATAGACTCATCCGTTAATAATAAAGTTTTTATATGAATACTTTTATTTGTATTATATATTTAAATCAAAATGCAAATTAAAAATGCCTTGGTTACTTTTTAAAATTTTATTTTACTTTATAAACCTTTATTAACTTAGCATTTGTGTTTGCTTTTAATGCATTTTAAAGAAAGAACACTTATTTGTTTATAAAATTAGGATTTAATAGCGATAGTTTTATCTCATAAATATCATTACATCGACGGATATGTCATTAAATTATACTACGTCACATTAAGTTATTTTAAAGTTTGACCTATAAATTTGAATGTTTAGAACTTCATATATTTAAAATAAATATAATAAATTTTGTAAATCTCTGTTTTTTTAATCATTTTTAATTTTTTTTGTTTTAGTGTGAAAGTTTAAAATTAAAATAAAAATACCAAATTTTGTTTGAGTGTTAATTTGTATTAAAGTAAACATGTTTATGTTAAATATAAACAATTAAATAGCAACGTGTTTGTGTTTTTAGTGGCATGAACCAAAATAAAAGTAATTGCATTTTACTACTTAAGCATAATGCGATTGTGCTTAAGTATGTAATTATAATTATATACCGAATAATTATTTTTAATTCGGTTCATGCCACTTAAGTAAATTAGACCTTTAACTTTAGTGTAGAATTTTGAATATATTCAGAATAAAAACACTTCATCTGCTATACATTTTAAATTTTTGTGATTTATGTAATAACACAAATATATTTTTTTCAATATATTTTTAATAGATTTTATCAATATATTTTTGGAGAGATAATGCTATACAATTTTTTTAAAAATTTATCCAAATGTCACAAAAATTTTGCTTTCTCCATATTTGAAATATATAGATTGTTATATTTAACAATATTACTCTTTACATACAAATCTTCTCAAGGACTGAAAAGTAAACTTTAAATTTTCACCCACTCAGTAAATATTTTTTGACAGTCTTGTACCTAAACTTATTTTTTAGTTCCAACTTTGTTGCATAAAGTAATTTGAGACTAGATAAATTGTTGATAGCATTATTAAGCTTCTTTAGCATCATTAAGTTCCTTTACAAGCTTTTTCAAAAAAGCAGCATGGTTTCCCAACTTTTTAACTGATGATGTAGCATTTAACGTGATGTAGGTATATTTAAAATTTTGAACTAGCAAGATTATATTATTTTATTCAAAAAAAATATTATCATTATTTATTATCACTATCCGCCTCGTACCATCTTCACAACAACAATGGCTTAAAATACCTTCAGAATTCTACAAACAATAGAATTTTTCTCAGGTGCAGTAGATGGTAAACATGACGTTATTCAGTAATCAGCTCGAAGTGGTTAAACGTATTTTAACGATGAAAAAAATATTTATTGTTACACTTTTAGTAACGTGTAATGCAAAATACGAATTCGCTAAGGTTGATGTATGTGGCTCCGGGTTTCAAAGCGACGGTGGTATCTACAATAACAGCAAAATTGAATCCGCTACCGACAATAATCTGTTAAATTTTTCTGATCCATTACATATAAATACTTATTTAGAATTTATAATATTTTCCTACACCTTTTTAGCTGACGAAGCATTTGTATTAAAACCGCACATGTATACGACAAGGCATTTGCATATATAACCATAAACAGTGATAAAGAAACTAAAAAAAGTTTTTCTGCGGTATGTATGTCTTTTCCAGTATGTAAGTCTTTCCCATCTTTAGAATTCCAAAAATTTAGTAAAAAGTTGAAGTTTAAACATATAACTAGTAGTCCACAGTATCAACAATCAAATGGAATGGCTGAGAGACGTGGAAATGGTAAAAAAAATCTTGCTAACCAAGCAAAAAAGATCAAATCAAGATCTTTACATAGCTCTACTAGAGATAAAAAATACTTCTGTTTACGGTTTTGCATCACCTGCTCAACTTATAAGCGAAAGAAGATTGAGATCAACACTTCCAACGTTTCCGTCACTACACACTCGCGGAAAGTGTGGAGTTTTCCTCCACACCAGTGTGTAGCTATCACTCCTAGACACAAGTGTGGAGTTAATTTGCACAATTTTGTGCAAAAAACTTCTTACTTCTGTGCAGAAGTCGAGATAGAAAAAGTTAATTTCCACAAAAGTGTACAAAGTAACTCCTTGTAATAACTGTGTACAAAATAACTCCTTCTGATAACACACTTGTGCCTAGGAGTGATAGCTACACACCGGTGTGGAGGAAAACGAGCGGCTCTCGGCTCTCGTGTTTTTTATTAAAGGAATAGAATGTATATTTTTTATTTTTATAACCTAGACAAACTTTATTCATTTATTGTTTAACATTGAATTTCTATTTTTTTAAATATTTTCTTCTAACAGTTACGGTCTTGTCAAAAAGTAATAAAAATGATTCTTTTAACGATTTTGTACTCAACAAAATACTATCCTTTAATAATATTTCTTAATATGCTTTATTAAAAAAAAAATTAATATATATATGAAAACATTACAGCTTTATATTATATTTTTATACTATATTATATGTTTCATATTATATTTATATATTGATACTATGTTGTTAAATATTTAATGGGCTATTTAATGATCAAAGGTTAATAATATCTTTAAAACTATATTAAAGCATGCGATCGTTAAACTTGAAACGATGAATTTCGTTTTGAAACTTGTCCCTAACACATTTTTAATGTATTTTTTTGGGGGTAATTACTTTAAGTAATTAAACTATTAATTAAAAACATCAACAAAGAAGTTGATGTTTTTAATTAATACTAAACCAAATGTTTCTAATAGTTAAAATGTCATTAAAACAGTTTAAAAAAAACCTAAAAAAAAGTCTGCAAAATAATCTACCAAATTCTTCAGCATCGTTACTTTTAATCGCTAAAGTATATGAATCTAGCAAAACCATTGTTTGTATGGTCATAAAACAATACATAAGCTCTCTATCTGTTGAACGACCAAAAGGATCTGGAAGAAAGTGTCGCTTTAAGGATTAGAAAGCAGCAATTAGTATTTGACGATCATCAATCAAAACCCCAGCTTATTGAACAAAGAACAAGCCAAAAGGTATAAAGTTTTAGAGTTTTTAAAGATTAAATTTTGGCAAGCAATATGCAGCTGTAATTTGAGATCTCGAGCTTTTGTCACATCGTCAACTTTAAACTCGGATCTTTACATCAAAGAATACTTACAAGCTAGACTTTTGCAATTTTATCGAAATCACAATGTCCCCTGTTAGTTCTGACCTAATCTTGCTTCTTGACATAATTTTAGGAAAATTGACATAACTCAAGAGACATCAAATTCATACCAAATAGCTTGAAACCATTAATCTGCACACAGTTCCGTCCCATTGAGAATTTTGGAGAATTAGCAAAGGATATTTGCGTAACACTCTTAAACAAAATCAGGAATCCGCAACTGAAATTCAGGGAAAACTCACTGAATTAATCATTGCGTTTAGGCACAATTGATTTTCAGGCGTAGTTGCCTGAATTTCAGCCAATTCTTTTTCTCTGGAAATCAGGGAAACCAAGCCTTCTGAAAATCAGGGATTTTGATGCACTGAAATTTAGGAATTCTATTTCTGTATATTCAGGGAAAAACTTTCGTCAACTCGGGTTTTTTATACCGACATAATATATATATTATATTGTCGGCATTTTTGTTGTGGATAAAATTGATTATGAAACAATCTCGTCCTAATCTTGTTAAGTAAAGTTTTTGGGCACGCCTATTTTAACATGGTTATGCTGTTGCGATTCAAAATCTATATTATACTATATTATTCAGGACATTTCACATTCATAACTGTATTTGATTACAGTTACTTAAATTTATGCTGATAGAATTCATTTTGATTTTATTAATCATGTTATTTAGTTATAATTTGCCGGTAGAGATGATTACAATAATTAAGTTAAAAAATAGTTATTATCATAATTACAAATATTACAATTTTAAGTATATACTGCAAATAAAATAAAAAAGATTTTGTTGATGCGTGCATTTGATTAACAATTAATAATTTTTCTATATCACAATGTGTGCAGATGTTGCTTATTTAAAAGAGTGTTAAATATATTTAACGTGCTTTTAAAAAAGTAACAAGATCTCGTACACATTCTGAGATAGGAACATTATCTAAGATCCCATAAAAATGCACTTGCAAAAACTGCCAAACATGGCTAACACTTTGGTCGTACTCAATTTAACCGATGTAGTGTAGCTTGAAACACTTATCAACAGCAGATACCATACAACGCGATTCAATAACTTCGTTTTCTACAACAATAAAGGATTGGCTAATGTTGCCAGTTACACCCAATGCAATAATTATTGGTTGTTTAATACTGTCACTTTTGATTTTAGAAAGAATTTCGTCCATTGAAGTTCCATACTAATAAAAGGTAATATAAATATAGTTTACGCATTTTAAACAAATTAAACATAAAATTAAGACCTCCGCTAAAAAATTGTACACAATATAATAAACGCAGCCATTGCTTACAGGATGAAGCTGGATAAATTGCTTGCAAACTTCAGCAACCGAGGCACGTTGCCAATTTCGCATAGGAACCGTTAACATAAGTGGAAGTTGTAATAGAGCGTATTTTTCTTTGGTATCTATAAAAGTATTGCTAAATACATATATTACCATTAGATACACATATAAAAAGTTATTAAAACAATATAATTTTTAAAAACTTAATCAATAAGTTAATTCTAACTCATTTGGTGTTAAGAAACTATTTTTATTTAAACATGAATAAATTAAACAAACCTTCAAGTAGTTGGTTGTTAGCTGCTATTTCGTCAAGTAATATTGTAAGATCGGTTGACAATCCTTTAATCGGTTTTAGATCCTTTGCGTTTTCCTTTGGCATACAAAAGGATCCGTGAAAAACAGTCTCCCAGCCCATCCACTAACCGTTTGCTGTTGGGTGCACTTCTGCAGAATTCCTCTTCAAATTAAATGCCATAGTAGTTGTTAATTCAATAAAATAAAGTATATTGTTATTAAATAATTTAATTAGTTTATAAGTTTACCACTATCATCAACTAACTACACAATGATTACTGAAAGTAAACTAAAAGCTTACCGCAGATGAGTAAATATTTCTTAATGGGGGAAATGATGAAAAAAATGTTTTTATTGGAGGTCTTCCTTCCCTCACCCAGAGACTTCGACTTTCATAAGTTGATGCCATAACAATTTTTATGCGATTCTCGTTAGGTGTCTCGTTTAAAAGTTCATGGGTGAGCACCCTTTCATCTTCTGTAAAATACTCTGATGAGAAACAATAATGAAAATAATAATAAAATAATAATACAGCATTTAAAGAAACTATCATCTTTACTATATTTTTAAACAACATATTTGAATACAGCACTTAAATACGCCATTAAATATAAATAGAATAAAACTGTTAATATATCAGAATGAAAATTAAAAAATATATTTTAAATAATATATTTTAAAATATCTAAAACATATAATTAAATTATTACACTCTACCATTATTAATAACAAACTTTTGCAACAATAGTGTTATTTGTATAAATATATATTTTAAATATATACTTAATGCAAATATTCATTCTACAAACATACAGTTAAAGGAAAAACCTGTTATGGGTCCATTGACTAGATCAACTGCATCTGTTCTTAGGCGCTTCTGATGCGGCTTGTGTGGCTTGTCAGTAATTGGCAGTTGTTTTCTCAGCGTTTTCAAACGCTCTTCAATATAGCCTGATGCGGAATATTTTTTAACTTTTCTGTTTCATAATACTTCAACATACTGTCTGAAGTAAGCATCCTTAAGTAAATAAGTAAGTAAAAATATAAAAATTAGTAAAACTAAACTAAAAAAATTTCAACTATTATCCCATTTCCCAAAATATGCAAATAAAAGTTTCAATTAGACTTAAAACAATACTTACATAACCATCACCATTACCACTTCTTAAGGTTGGAAAGCGGTTTATCACTTCTAGTGCTAAAGCCTTTTTTTTCTCTGTATTGGGATAGCTGCAACAACAACAACAACAAAAAAACTATTATGCTGTGTTTAATAATTTATCTACTTCCCCATTTAATTTTTGCAGTAAATCATTTATTTATAAATTTTAATTTAAATTTAAAATAAAACTAATTAAATTTAGTTTTATTAACTGATTTTACATACTAATACCAAAAAATGCAAGTTTCAAAATTAAAATATTAAAGGTTTCCTAACCAGTTACTATCTTTTACAAGATTTCCAACAATAATAGGCACAAAAAGATCTTTCATCAAGACTAACTGCCCGGTTCGTTCATATTCGGATAAGATTGACGCACCTTTAGGGTGATCTTTCAACATAGAGTCAATGTCCTTAACAAAAATTAAAATTCACTTCTACAGTATTACAAATAATAAAATATACGTAATTTTATAAATAATTTAGAAAAGTTTTTAAAAGTTTCTAACAAAATTATAAATAAAATGCATTTATGATAAAATTGAACAACAAACATAACTTACAATAGCAATTTAAAAAAAACTATAGAAAAAAAAAGTCTTTATTAGCTAATGCAAGCTAATAAAGATAACTATTTACTATGCTTATTAATAAATATAACAATTTTATTAAAAAAGCCAAAAGTTTTCATTTAATATTATTTATTAAATAAATTTCACTCACAAACTTATATTGACATTAATGTGAACTAGAAGAACTGCTGACAACATTAAAACTTATTTGATCTGTTGTGATTGTTGTTGTTGGTTCAATAGACTGTCTTACATCAGTATATGTAGATGCAGAGCTTTCTAAAGGTATATATGCTTCATTGGTATTGATAAGACAAGGAGGCTGTACATTCTGTAATTTAACAAATATGCTAAGAATAGTGTAAGTTAACACCTCTGTCTTCATCCAAATATTGAGATAATAGAGAGCGATTTACATACTGATACATATTTCAATACCAATAGTTAATAAAAAAGTTATAAATAATTGTTGATATATTAGAGACAAGTATCAATAAAAATCTCAAAGTTACATATACAGTGCTTGAAGTGGGGCATGATGTCATCGCCTTTTTTTAAAGTATAAACCATTTGGCCACCTTTTTTAAAATCTCTGTATATAACAATGATTAGGATGGTTAGGTGGGTTTTAATTTACTGAATACTATCCTGTTACTTTTTTTTCTCCACTTTGAGCACTGTATATATATATATATATATATATATATATATATATATATATATATATATATATATATATATATATATATATATATATATATATATATATATATATATATATATATATATATATATATATATATATATATATATATATATATATATATATATATATATATATAATATATATATATATACATATATATATATACATATATATACACAAATTTAACATTAACAAAATCAAACAATTAATGGTCAAATTATATTAATTGGTAATTTCAAAAAGCATAAGTATCACTAGTAAATAATACAATACAAAAGCAAAGCACACAAACACACATAGTATTAAGAAAAACAACTTATTTAAGTAAAATTGGTAATCTTATAATGTACATTCTACAAATCAAAATATTTGACTTCCATATTATATCATATTTATGTGTTATCTGCACATAATGTGTGACGCAATGAAATGTGCACAAAGTGATAGTTTTGATTGTAACAAGTACCTGAAAAAACAGGATGATAATCATGCAAACTATCAAGTGTGTAATAGCTGACAGTGTTGGTGTCATCACAAGTTACAGTGTAGCTGTGAAGATGCTCATCAAACTGAATTAGCCTAAAATTAAGACATAACAAATGAGCTTTTTTGTCCATTATCACAATCTTGTCTATACAAATAAAAGTTGGCTCTCCATGTTCATTAATGTCTGCTATTAGTGACATTCCAGGTTTGTAAACAGTACCATAGGCTTCAATAAAATTTGCAATGTATACAACAACATGTTTATTTGCGAAATGTGATGATATTGTTTCTCCATTTGGCACAAGATATAAAAGTGTTTTTGTAAATGTGCCCACAACAAGACTTTGTTTAAAACCTATTTTTTTCCACCACTGACTACATTGTGCAAGTTGATGACGAAATGCAAGAGTGTACGCAATGTTACGAAAATTGCACACAATGTGGGCTATTCTCTTAAAAAAATTGTGTTTGGCTTCAAAACGCATAGTTCTCTTCTCGGACAGAGATCATGACTAGATCTCTGTCCGAGAAGAGAACTGTTATCTTTTAAACGATTTTCAGTTATCAGACTGGGTTTTTTGTCTTGTAATGTTAATCCATAAGGAAAATGTCTAAGACGATTATTTAACAAATTTAAATCAAAAAGATTTTGAATGTAAATAAAATTATAAAGAACTAACTTGATTTCTAAAGGAGCTATACCTTCCAAAATATCATGCATGATGTCTCCAGTATCATTTTTAGCCGGATGATAGTACTTAAGTTCTTTCAAAATACTTACAACTTTAATTCCAAACTCAGCTTTATAAACTTGCTGTGCTGCTAATTTATTAACAATTGCTTCATATTGTGCTACAGTTCGTTGAAGCTTTGGAATTTCTGTAAAACTTTTTTGCATTGTTTTTTTGTCAGCTGTGCATAGATCACAACAAAAGTCACTATTAAAAGACTCTACAAAGCCTAAATAAGTATGAAATCCAAGGTTGTCCCCTGTTATTTGACCAAGAATGCATCGCACATGTCTTGAAGTTGCTTCAGCCTGAACTTCAATTTGAAATCCATCCTCCATACACTTTAAATCATCAACAATTGCTCTTAAAACTGCATTAATGCCATACTTTTTTATGTCATTGACATATGTCAATGCAACTAAATGTACATTTGCTAAATTAGAATTAAAAACAGCTGGAAAATTTTTCAAAATAAAGTAGAATGCTCCAAGCTTGTGTATGGACGCTTTTGTTCCTATAGGATTTACTGTTTCCACATCATCATAATAAAGTTGAATAACAAGTTCGTGTGTAATAAAATCAACTGAAGGCAAGGGATGGCGATTTCGGTGTGCTTGGTAATTACTTCCATCTTGGTAGTCACACATGATTCCACCTTCAGCTATAGTTTCGTTAAAAGTGCAGGCTGACCAACAATCTGAATGTCTAAAAATATACTTAAGAGTTTTGCTGATGGGTACAAACATAAAAGTGTCTTCTACTTGAACTTGCTTGCCCATCTTTGTTTCCCACCGATGTCCCAATACAATTTCAGTAGGGATATTTAATGCACCAACCTTTTCTAGATATGTACTCAGCTTTTTCACAATGTCAATATTCTGGAATGGATGTTTAAGAGCAGTAAGAAAAATTTCTGCAGTGTTTTTATTCTCTAAACTATTCATACTGACTTAATGACTTTATTTACCATTACGGATGTCATTTATATTGCTTATTGGAATAGCGGCAGACATTAGATTAAGAAGAAACCTGGCAGCTGGTAAGAATATTCCTCTATGGTCAAAACATTCAGCTATATCAAGAATTGGTTGTGCATCAGGAGCATCATTAAAATTATTAAAATCTTCTGGCATAAAGCTGTCTCGGGTATTAATATTGCTTTGTGGTAAATCAAATAATTGATTAGTAACAAAAGGCACTTTCTGAGCTTGCCTTTTAATATGAGAATGCACATGTTTTTGAAAACTATGAAAAGATGTAAATAATCTTTTGCATCTTTTTTGGCCACATATTAGTTCACATGGCTCCTCAAGTGCATGTATACCTTTCAAATGGCAAAGTAAAAAATTTATTGTAGGGAAATTGCAAGTACATTTAAAGCATGTTAATTGCATTTTTATTGATTAATTTTATTAGTGAACCTGTAAACAGAAAAAATAGTTTTAATTGAAAAATTACCTTAGATTATATAGCTAAAAATACACTCTTAATCTTTAAAAAATCTCCAAGCTTTGGAAACATTAACTTTAAATCTTCAATGGTAACCAGCACCATCGCATCAGCATCAATACCATTTTCTTAAAAAATATTAATTTAAAAAAATGGATTTAATTTTTTTTCTTATATAGACAAAATAGATAATTTAACATTTAATTCAAATATTATATTTTAAATATATAGAAACATACATTTAATATTTTTTTGAATTTATTTCAACTTTAATTAGTGCTGTTAAATTTGCATTTAGTACTGAAGGTATTACAGTACTACAAGTAAATTGAAAATTAAGTTTATTTAAATTATTACTTCCAAATTTTATTAAAAAAAATAAATTACTAATCAAGTCTAATGTACAGAAAATTAACATACCTTCATGAACCTACATACTATTCTTTAACTTCTTGAGAGACAATTCTTCAAGAAACGCATGAAACAATTCAGAGGGTAATTGAGCCATACTCAATTGTCAAGTAAATCAAAAAAACTAATTTATATTAAGAAACCAGTTAATTAAACTTTATTTATCCATGGCCTACTTAAATTACACGGCCTGATTTGTTGCATTTTCCATAAAAAATAAAGAAGCCAGTTTTTTCACGCCATAAGTATAAAAACTTCATTTATGGTTAAAAATCTTGTTTGCACTCTAATTGTTTTATTATAATTTTATTAAAATGGTTTAATGATAGTTAGATCTTCTTTGAATACTTACATTATTTTGTGCTGCGCTTTCTGTTAACTCATTGCCTGCTTCAATTTATTCCAACAACACAGAATACTGAAATAGGCTTTCAGATAACTATATCAACACATACCAACATACTACTAAAATTACTACTAAAAAATCTTTCATGTTGCTAAGATTGCCTAAAACTCTCCATTGAACAAAAAAAAAGGTTTGTAGTTTTGTATTTTTTTATAATTGAAATTGAAAGAATGAAAACATTTTTGCTAGAAATGTTTATTTTGTCTTTGTCTCTTTTGGAATTCTTTTACTTGATTTTTTCTCAATGGATATGAAATTTTTTTACAAATTATTATAAAAAATATTAATAACAATACAAGATCTACATTTGATTCCCCATTTTTAGTAGCTTTTATTTGTAAAATTAACACTGCTACATCAAATCTTTAAAATTTGTTTTGCAAATTTTTAATAGAAAAAGCATGACTGCAATGTTTTATTAGAATAAGAGAAATTACATAAAATACTAAAAAGATAACAAATAAAATTAGACAGAGGTTGAATCGAATATATAGGTTCTTCTCTTTATAAAATAACGTTTATTGATCATAAGTTTAACAGCAAAATCTTTTTGTTAATTTTTACCAATATAACTTGCTTTAG